AAGTCGTCCAGTGTGCCATGTTAGTAGATTTTGAATCAGTGGGCATTGAAGAAGCTCTCAAGAAGAGAGAATGGTTTAATGCCATGAAAGAAGAATTTGAGGCAATAGAAAGGAACAAAACTTGGAAATTGACTAAACTTCCAGATAAGAAAAAGGCCATCAGCGTTAGATGGGTTTTTAAGTTGAAACTTAAGCTAGATGGTTCAATTGGAAAGCACAAAGCTAGACTAGTAGCTAGAGGTTTTCTTCAGAAATCTGGGCTATATTACTTTGAGGTGTTTGCGCCTGTAGCTAGGCATGAAACAATCAGACTGGTGATTGCTTTAGCTGCAAATAGAAATTGACCTTTAATGCATCTGGATGTGAAGTCTGCATTTCTGAACGGTCCATTACAAGAAGAAGTTTATGTGTCACAACCTTCTGGATTTATGAAAAAGAATCGGGAAGGGATGGTATACAGGTTGAATAAAGCTCTGTATGGACTGAAGCAAGCACCTAGAGCTTGGAATCTGAAAATTGATTCATTTTTCAAAAAGTAGAGGTTTCAAAAATGCGAGATGGAATATGGAGTTTATGTACAACACTCTGATAATAATATGATTTTGGTGTGTCTTTATGTTGATGACATCTTGCTAACAGGTAGCTGCCCAGAAGATATAAAGAAGTTCAAAGAAGTTCTGATGAATGAGTTCGAGATGACAGATCTAGGAAAAATGACATATTTCCTAGGGATGGAGATTTTGTACTCGAAGAAAGGTATCATTCTGCATCAGTTAAAGTACGAACTAGAACTTCTGAAGAGATTTAAGCTGCAAAGTTGCAAAGTTGTTGTGACACCATCAGAAACCAATCAAAAATTGGATTCTGACTCTGATGGTGATTCTGTTGATTCTACAATCTTCAAACAGTTGGTTGGTTCTCTAAGGTATTTATATAATACTAGACCTGACATTTGTTATGCAGTTGGATTGGTTAGCAGATTCATGAGTAATCAAAAGTGGTCTCACTTCCAAGCCACTATAAGAATTTTGAGATATATCAAGGGAACCCTGAGATATGGAGTGTTGTTTCCTTCTGAAAGAAAGACAAAATCAGAATTAGTAAGCTATTCTGACTCTGACTGGTGCGGAGACAGAGTGGACATGAGAAGTACTTCTGGATACTTGTTTAAATTTCTGGGAGGTCTCATTTCCTAGAGTTCCAAGAAACATCATGCCGTGGCTCTGTCAACATGTGAAGCTGAGTATATCGCAGGTGCTGTAGCTGCTTGTCAAGCTGTTTGGCTTTTGAACCTCCTGCATGATCTGAAGGTTGAAGTTGAGGAACCTCTGAAGCTGATGATTGATAATAAGTCTGCAATTGATCTTGCCAAGAATTCAGTGCTACATGGAAGAAGCAAGCACATTGAGACGAAGTATCATTTTTTCAGAAGTCAAGTGCAGAAAGGAGTGTTAGAAGTTCTGCACTGTAGCACTCAAAAATAGCTTGCAGATCTTCTGACAAAGGCAGTTAAAACAAATCAATTTCTTTGCTTGAGAGATGAAATTGATGTTGTTAGCTTCTGATAGAATATCTAAATTAAGGGATGGTATTGGAAATATAATTTAGTTAATGTCTACAATTCCCAATATTTATTCTTTAATAGGGCCTTTTGGCATTTTCAATTTTTAGTATAAATATGCTACCTAGGCTATCAATATTGTAACTCATTCATTCCTCTATTTGATATATAATAGTAGTCTTCTTTATTATCATTCATTGCTCATTCTTTTTCTCCCTTTCATTACCTTGCACCAACAGGAAGAAAATGAGTTACATAAAATAAAGAAAAAGATGAAAGATGAAAAGATAAGAAAAAGAAAGTTTAAATGAACATTTGTTTCAAGGATTCATAGAAGATTTTCAAAAATAGGTTGTCTGAGAATAAAAATATGAAGATTTAATTTTTAGATATTTTTTAAATATTTGTTTGACATATAATTTGATGTTTCTTGAAAAATGAATATATATATATATATATATATATATTATATATATATATATATATATATTATATATATATATATATATATATATATATATATATATATATATATATATATATATATATAATATATATATATATATATATATATATATATATATATATATATATATATATATATATATATATATATATATATATATATATATATATATATATATATATATATATATATATATATATATATATATATATTATGTGAAATTTTATGAGAATGAACATTCTAATCTTCTATTCATGAGAATAAAACCATAAAAATTATATAAGTTATTTAATTCTAAAAAACTTTTATTCTTAAGAATAATTTATTTTCAAACTTGTAATAAAGAATAACTATTTTTTCAACAATGTATTCTTAAGAATATTTTTCTAGACTTGAAATAAATATCGCCTAAGGGTTTGTATCTTTAAACTATTTTTAATCAACTTTTTATAATAAATAAATAAAATGATGAGAGAAAATTTGAAAGAGAGACATAGAAACAAAGGCATGACTTTGACCTTAAAAACACCAAATTCATGCTCGAAAGTCTAATGTTTAATGGTACTTGTTTCTTTTTTTTTTAATTGAAAAAAATATATAATAAAAAATATTATATATTTGAGAATAGTAAAAATATAATGTAAATGTAACAAATAATGTCAAAATATAAAATTAAAGTATAGTAGAATTTTTAGCAAACCGGAATAAAGAAAAAGAGAATGAAATTTTAAGGGAAATTACACTCACCTTTCATAAATTTTATTAAAATGATACTAATTTTTTTAGAGTTTTTAAAATGACACCGATATCTTTTTTAATTTTTAGTGATTGATAAGTACTATAAATATAAATATATTTATGATTTTTGGTCTATGTCTAAAAATTTCAATTAGTATATATATATATATATATATATATATATATATATATATATATATATATATATATATATATATATATATATATATATATATATATATATATATATATATATATATATATATATATATATATATATATATATATATATATATATATAAAAGAAATATTAATACATATTTTAAAATTACAGAAATTGTCGATGTGAGAACAACTTTCTTTATATTATAGTCATCTATTAAGGCCATTTGTATTAGTGTGATTGTAATAATCATTTTTATATCTCATTCGTTTATAAAGAAAATATTCTTGTTGATCTACTGTTATTATTATAATGTGAGAAAAGTGATATATTCATCCACTTACCTTAGGTGTTTTAGTCTATATCTTTTCCAAGACATTCTGTTCTATAAAAGGTCATAATTTTGGTTATGTGTGTGCCAAAAAAATACTTTCTCTTGTAAAAGAGATTGTGCTGCTATATGATAATCAAAGTTTTGCTGCTTTTGTATTTTATTTTTAATTATTTATTGACTTATTTCAAGATTTAAGGCTTTCAGTTCTTTGTTCATTTTGAATAACTCTATGCTTATGCTAATTTTTAATTTTATTTTGCAGAGATAATACTTCCGTCAGCTATTAATCTTGACAATGAAGAAGATTTTGCAAGATGAAAAAGTTACAAAACACTCCGAATTTAAAATAGTTTTTATTAAAATAAATTCAAAATCAAATATAAACGATTTCTTATTTTAACAAATAGATCGATTTGGAAAAAAATTGTTTTACACTGTAATTGTAATTGTGAATATGGTTGCAGTTATAGATGTTACTATTGTTGTTATTGTAGTTGTTGCGATGTTCATCGCGGTGTAAATTTTTAAAAAGAGATGTTTGAAATACAATATTGAAAAACAGTTAATGTTAAATTTTTTCATTACATAAGAACTAAATTGAGTTTTAGAATTTTAATATATTGATCTTTGATGAAAAAGCTTTAAAAAAATATAATTGAAATTGTCTGATATGATTTCTAATATTATTAAAGGCGTTCGGTAGTATTGTAGGTGTAATTTCGGTTGCGGACTACGATTTAAAACCATTAGAACAACTATCTATCAATGATTGAGCATGTATTGAAATTCTAAACCAATATATTAAACTAATAATATTGATTCAATTTGATTTAGATAAATTAAAACATTTCGGTTAAATTGAGTTAAGTTCGGGTAATCTTATTTCAAATTGTTAATGTTTTGAATAAGTTAAAAAAAAAAGGGTCATTAGCGAGATCAACACTGAGAGGGCGTTTGTTTCAAGGTGTCAAAATTTATTTCTTAGAAGTACTATATCAGGAAAATAAATGAAATTTATTTTAAGGTATTCTTCTAGAAAATTGTTTGGCAAAATTTTTACTATTCTCAAAAATATTGTAATTTTATTAAATTATTTAAAAAAATATATAAAATTTCATGGAAATCCACTTTCTCCTCTTTTTTAACATGAGAATTATTCTATGAGAATAAAAGAAGTTATAAGAAGTTATTTTGTTCCTTAAAATCTTTATATTCAAGAATAATTTTTTTCAACCTTGTAATAAATATGAATATCCTCACTTTTTACTTATATATTCCTAGAAATATATAATTTCTAAATTTGAAACAAACACACCCTAAATGCTATATAGATTCAAAATCATGGTTTAACACCTCTTTCTCATAGAGGACATGATGCCTTTACGAGCATTTGAATTTGGAGAAAGAAAGTTGACAAATATTGCATGTAAGTTGTTCCCAAATTGTTGTGCAACATGCCAACATCAGTAAAAAATCTGGACAACGTCAAGGTTATTGAAACATCATACGAGAATTAGTACTTATCATGAAAGACAATTGGCAGTTGCAATTATGGACCAAAATTATGGACTAGTAGTAGACAAAAAGCAACTGTCAAATTTGTTCCTCCTATCATCATTTTATTAGGAAGAATTTTGAAACATTGATGGCTTATAGATAGATTAATCATTTATAGGCAAGGCTGCATATCTTGCCACACATCTCAATTGTATAAATCAATTAGCCAACTAGTTGCCATTTATCTTGCTACCATCTCTGAAATTGTAACATCATTGATTGAAGGAAATTTTAATCTGGAGTTAGATCCATGTTTTTTCATCGAAAAAGCTGGCATTTTGGGAGTATCGACGAGTGTGCCTTCGTTCTTGATAAGTGAATCAACTTCTAACATAGAAGGTCTATCTGCCGAATTATCTTGAACGCACAAAAGACCTATCTGCATGCATCTCATGATTTTACAATCAGATGTTGAATCATCCAATGAAGGGTCCAAAAACTCCACACCTCTCCCTTCCATCCATAGCTCATATGCCTACAAAATGAAATAGCAATTTCCTTTTATGTTTCAATATCAAGAAAATTACAAAAGATCTTGTGCATGATTGCACGAATGTGGTAAAATAATGACAGATAACAGAAGTGTGAAATTTTATCACATATTATTAGAATTTTTTTTTTATTTCACATAAATAACTTACATATTCTAAAAGGTTCATATTTTCATCTGGACCGTAATAATATGAAGATCTCTTCCCACTTATGATTTGCAAGAGAAGGACTCCAAAACTATAAACATCATACTTGAGTGAATATATGCCTTTTCTGACATACTCGGGAGGTACATACCCACTGCAAAAGCCAATTCAATAGATTAGATACATCAAGAGAATATACATTGGTAACATATTATTGGTTATAAATTACTCACTATGTTCCCACGATCCTACTTGTATTTGCTTCAAGTTCATTCTTTCCGAAAATTCTAGCAAGACCAAAATCGGCTATCTTAGGATTCATCTCACTGTCTAACAAAATATTACTAGCCTTAAGGTCTCGGTGGATTATAGTACAATTCGAATACTCTTGGAGATAAATAAGGCCTTGAGTAATCCCTTCAATGATATTCACACGTTTCTTCCAATATAGAAGACTTGATTTCCTTGGATCTGCATTAAGTTCAATTCTAAACTATTAGTCACTAAAAAATTACTAGCTGAAAGTTAGAATTATTACTATGGAGTATGGACTTGATGTAACAGACCAAAGAGAAAATGATCTAAGCTTTTATTTGGGAGGTATTCATAGATGAGAAGCTTCTCATTCTTTTTCGTGCAGTAACCCAAAAGTCTAACTAAATTAACATGTTGTAGTCTTGCTGTAAGCATGATTTCATTTTTGAACTCTTCAAGTCCTTGAGTTGAGGTTTTTGATAGTCTTTTGACGGCTATTTCCCGTTCCTTTCGTAATTTTCCCTGACAAAAATCAAATCATAAGTATTCACAGTCTTTCCTTGATTTGCCTCAGTAATTGCAAACTTTGCTAATCTTCAAGTGTTACCTTATACACTGCACCAAATCCACAAGTGTTACCTTATACACTGCACCAAATCCACCTTCTCCCAGCTTATTTTCTTTTGAGAAGTTATCTGTTGCTACTTTAATTGTGACATAACCAAATACTATCAAATCATAAGACTCTTCATCAACATCTTCTTCAGCTGAGGATAAGTATATCTTCAATTTGTATATCATTTTTGTAATAATGGTTATGGTTCCTGCCAAAACATTGTGAAATATATAAAAAACATATAAAAAGGAAAATTGTACTAATATCTTTATTACTATAATTTATTTTTATTATTATTCAATTTTTTCACTCTAGGATGAGATTTGTTATATCCTTACTTTGGTAGTAGTAGCAATAAAATACTGTTCCCAAGAGAAGAGCAACAGTCATAATTGTAAGCAGAACAATTATCAGTGATTTTTTGTTATGATGATCTTCATCTACTTCTTGAGCTGAAGAAATGGATATAAATGTTAATCCATAATTAAAACACCAGCATATTGATAAAAAGATGTGTCCACTCCAATCAACTATTCTTTAGTTCAAGTTGTGTTTCAAGAGCATGTGATTTAATTTACAATACTCAAATTAACATCTAAAATTTGACTAGCAAACAAGAGTAAAGAAGGGTTTTCTCATTTTTGAATCACTCGTAGTTTTGTTTAGACAAACAACTTAATCAAGTGTTTATATCATATGAAAGTCTAATTTTCTTAAAAGTGTGGAGGTATATCTCAAAAAATCAAGTCATCAATGTTGGGTAACTTGTAATTTAAGTTATTTGAAAATCAAGGGAAATAGAAGAGCATAAAGAGTAATTGAGAAAGAGAAAAGTAATTAAGAATGAATTACGCATGTTACAATGGTAGAGATCTATTTAACGCGGTTAGGATAGATTAAAACAAACTAAGCCAACTAACTTCAAATTGTGACAGTTTGCTTGTGTTGCAAGTCACACTTGCAACACTTTCAAAACTGTTACTAAGAGCTAAATTATATTCTAATATCCTTTCTAATTTATATTTTCCAAACTCTCATTTCCATTAACCTTTTAAGCCCTTCAAATCTTGCATGCTTAAGGGTTTTGTCAAATGTATGCCAATTGCAACTCAATCCTACAATTCTCAATTCTCAACCTCTCTTTAGCAACTTGATCTTAAGGAAATGTTACCACCTTTATATGTGCTTCTCCTACCATGGCTTATAAGATGATTTTCTAAATCAATTGTTGATTTATTTTCCACTAGAGACTTGATTTACATAGTTGATCACCTTTAACTCTTCAAGTAGCATGTCTAACCAAAGGGCTTGGTGCAACATACTCTGCTTCACATGAATACAAAGTCATAATTCCTTAGTTTCTTGAACTCTATGAGATTGGTGCTAATACAAGCATGATCAGGAATCTAGTTGTGTTTTTTCTATCATCTTAATCATCACTCCAATCTGAATAAGAGTAACCATACACCTTAGCTTCCATTTTTCATTTTATTGGTTTTACACGAGTACTCAATGGTCACTTGTACCTCTAATGTTCTTTAGGATTCTTTATGCTGCAAGTAGATGACATCACCTTTATTTATCCATAAATCTAATAATCATTCCAACACTATGGCAAATATCAAGCCTTATATTGGAAAGAAACCTCAATGAACCAATGGTCTGCCTATATAATGTATTATCCACCCGTTCATCTTCTGGCTCCTTCTTCAATTTGATGTTGGTATCTAGAAGTGTGTTTGTAGATTGAAATTTCTCATCTTGAACCTCTTCAGGGTGTCTTCGATATATTTCTTCTGGTGCAAGAAAACTCTACCTTGTGTTCACAATTTCCATTCCTAAGAAGAAGTCCAAATTTCCTAAGTCTGATATCTCAAACTCATTTTTCGTGCTTGTCTTGAAAATTTCTAAATCATCTTTATTAGAACATGTGACCAATAAATTGTCCATATATAGTCATAGGATGATTCGATCTTGTTCACTTGACCCTTTCACATACACTTCATATCCTAATGTTCAGTTGTTGAAACATAGCTTGATCAAGAAGCTATCAATCATCTTGTTTCATGCCCTAGGTTCTTAATTCAATCCATACGAGTTTTTTCTTAACTTGTACACCATATTATCTTTCCTTTTCACCTCAAAACCATGTAGTTGATTCACATAAACTTCTTATTCTTGGGGTTCGTTGAGGAAGGTTGACTTTACATCAAGTTGGTGTATCTTCCGACCTCTATATGTTGCAATGACTACAACCAGTCTTATGGTTTCAAGCCTAGTAATTGGGGAATAAACTTTATTGAAATTAATTCTAGACACCAATCTTTCCTTATGCTTGACAATTTCACCCTTTGGATTCAACTTCATCTTGTAAATCATTTATTCCTTCTATCTTGAATAATGAACCAGATCCCTAATTTTGCTCTTTTCAGTGGCTTTGATCTCTTCATCCATTTTATTTTGATAATTCTCACATTTCATGACTTGAACATGCTCTATTGTCTCATATTCAACCATCACGGCTTCTTCAATTAGGACACTATTTCTATTATGATTTGATCTGGTAACCTTTCATAATCATTTAGTTTGACTGGTTGAGTTATGGATATTGTTGATTTTCTCACCACATGAGGTTCTGCAGGTTCAATCTTAGTTTATATTACTTGCTAATCATCTATTAGAGTGGTTCTAATGTGACTTGAAATTTCACCCCCATACATTGAGTTAGCCCAATTCTATCCTCTAATTTTATCGAATTCCACATCCCAACCAATCATCTCCTTGTTCTCAATTGACAATAACAACTTGTAGGAACTTGTGGAATGATAGCCAACATAAATCATGGCTTGAACTCTATCATAAAGCTTCCTTCATGAGAAGTCTTGTTGTGTAACTTTTTTGTTGGACATCTATTGATGTTGTAGACAGTAGTTGAGGTATCCCCGCCCTTAAAATGGTCTAGAATTTACCTTGCCTTGAGTATGCTTTTTGTCATGTTCAAAATACTTATATTCTTTCTCTTTGTGATGTCATTATGATGTTATGTGTAAGGTGTTATCACTTCATGCTCAATATTTTCCTTTTTATAAAATTGAGCAAATTTAGTTGAGGTGTACTCACCACTACCACCACCACCACCAGTTATGAACCTTTTGTTTGCATGTTCAACTTGTTTCTCATTTAGTAACTTGAATCTTTAAAAATTGGTGAATAAATCACTTTTATTTTCCAATAGATAAATCTACATCTACCTAGTGAATTCATCCAATAAGGTTAAGAAGAAGCAATTACCTCTAAGTGACATCAAATTTAAGGGGACCACACACATCTGATTGCACAACTTCCAATTTTTAGTGTGACTTCATTAGAAATTTATGTTTGAGTGACCTTATTTATTTCTTATAAATGTAACTCTCTTCACATAAATTCATTTTCACGGAAGGACATACACCATTTTATTCATGTGTGTCAAATTCGGACTCCTAAAATTGAGATGGCCAAATCTCTGATGCCAAGTCCAATTTTGACCTCAAACTCTGGTTTATGCATGATATTGATGATCTACAATAATGATCATAATATTGAATGTCATGTTGTTTGACAAGGGTTCCTTCAATATTAGCTTGGAACTTCCATAAAAAACCTTGAGTTCTTTTTCTTCTAGCCTCATTCTATAGCCTTTCTCAAGCAATTGACCTAAGTTGATCATATGTGATCAGTGGTTTTTACATAGGAATTGTGCAGTTATTTTAGTTATCATTTATTTTAATTTACTGGTGTTTTATTTCATTTTACCGCATGTTATGTATTGGTTTTGTATTTTAGTGTTTTCAGATTTAAAAGAATAAAACAGGACAAATCGGGGCAGAAAAGTGCAGAATTCAGAGTTCTGGAAGAAGTGTTTCAAGAGCCTTGACACGGGTGGCCATGTCGCCTGACACGGGCCGTGTTAGGGAGAGGATTTGGAAAAAGTTAAGATTCGAGCAAGGCAGAAGGCGACACGGGCGCCCGTGTCCCATGACACGGCCCGTGTTAATTTAGCTGGAACCAAAAAGTGTGAAAACGCATATCATGGATGCTGACACGGGTGCCCGTGTCAGCCTAGGCGCTTGAAATTCTAATTTTGAGATTTTTCTGTATTCTTGGATCATTAAGGGTACTTTGGACATTTTTTATCGCTGAAGGATAACCTAACGCTATAAAAACCTGTTTGTGAGAAGAAGAAAAGGACATTTGGACGGGAGAATAATTTCACGATAGAAGGTTGAAGTCTATGCAAGTGTTGGGAGAATAAAGACCTTTCATGAACGGAAGCAATTGAAGATCAAATTTCACCATCAATTTGTGTAATATCGATCTTTATTTTTATTGAAATTTCCTTGAACATTATGTACGGCTAAACCCCTTAATGCTAGGGGGTGCCCCTGATTTGCAATGTTAAGAATACTTATCTCTTTGTTTTATTCAACATAAAAGTTTGTATGCATAAATTTGATTGTTAGAAGAATTTATAGTTTTACGCTATGGGACCATATGGTTTCACTGTTATTAACACATTAGAGTCGGACGATCGTGTTAAGGTTTCCTAAATAATGATATCATAGATGATTTCACCTAGGACTAGGGCAATCCTATGATAACCAGAATAGTTCTTGATAATTGAATGCTTAACCTCGAAACTAATTTGAATGGACATTAAAATTAGGGTAGAAGTTTAAAGGTTTTTCACTAAAGACTTAGGAAAAGATAATCTTAATAATCGGTAATTGAGGTTGATGAACTTGTTGAAGAGATCAAAGAGTGAAGGTCATTTCATGGCAAATCATACACTCATCCTAGCATATTTTAATCAAACAGAAAAAGTCCCATTTTATTTTTAGCCATTTAATCTTTCGCAAGGTTTTATTCCAATCAAACTCTAAACTATTGTTTTTGTTTAATTGAATTAATAATAAAACTCAATATTTCCTACGTAGTCCTCGAGATCGATATTAACCCATTACACTAGACGACAACAATATTGTGGTAGTAAATTAGTGAAAACATGGTAACAACAAGTTCTCTTAATATATATTATTTTTTTTACAGAAAAAATATTAGCAACAACAAGTACTTTTGCCTCTTTTTTTTATTGATGCAAGATGTATTTTTATTAAAAAAAATAAAGATGCAAAATATGTGTTTTAAAAATAGGAAAAAAAAACAAAATACTAGTGTCATAGTTTTGATCAAAATGTATAGAAACTTTTTTAAGATTCGATCTCTGTGGATCTCCATGGAGATCTGTGGGGATGGGGATGGGGGAAAATATTCCGCCGTGACGAGGATGGGGAATAAATTTCAGGGTAGGGTGGGCGGGGAGCTGAGAAGCATCCTTCTAATGTTCTCTGCTCTGTTGACATCCCTAGTATGAATTACTTCAGATGGAAGAAAGTGAAAGCATAATTGATTT